AAAAAGTCTATACTATTACATCTACGTCCTATCTGTGATATGTCGTGAGTGTGATGTCTCGCCATGTGTTTAGAGCGTCATGACAAGTATGCAACATGACATGCCACTCGCCCTGGTCAACAGGCGTTGTACAATCCTTGGCACCTGTAGAACCCGTCTTCTCGCGAACTATTCTCTTGGTTTATTTCCAGGGGGTTTCCAGTCGGCTCATACCCGGGCCCGGCAGCTCTTCTTAATCTTCCTCTTCACCTGAGAAGATTTTCATTTACAGTTTCGTAGTGTCCACCGGCGTCTACTCTAAGTCAATTGAAGAGGCTCCATTTTGCTTCTCTATCTGGGGAAATACATACATGATTCAGTTCCCGGTTCCGGCTCCGGCACCGGGATTTTCATGAGTACCTATGTAGTTAAAGTCAAAAATAAATTAATAACCCGAACTCCACATGGAGAATTGGAGAAGGACGGAATCGATGAATGACGATGTTTTGACTCCATAATTATTTTGCTCAAAATTACAGGGCTTGACCGAGTCTTGCCGAGACAAATGGTGCGAGCTTGGACGCCGGATTATACCGGCTTTTGACTTACACTGACTGACCATGATGAGAGCGTGAGTCTAGAGCCGCCTCGTAGGGCAGTACCTAAATATTCGTTATGGTGTGTCAATTATTTGGTGGTCACTAATGAGGTTAAAGGCAATTTTACCTGAGAATCCGGGGTTTGTGCACCGCGACGATCAAGGCGTAATTGATCTAAATTCCCCCGCGTTTTTGTGTGTCGACTCGTCTTACTATAGTCAGACAATCCAATGTATCGAGATACCACGGGAAGTATTCGAGCGGCTAGGAAGAAGTCTCGTTACCATCTTCTGTAACAAGGAGGCGCAAGAGGCGCTGCAGGCACAGCCAGGCTTGTAATTTCGGACTCCTAAGGCCTCTCTCATGGACGTGTCATGATAGGCACAATTCATCGGTGAAAGGGATGACTTGTTTCATAGAGCCAAATATTGTCTGTCGGACAACAGGATCATTACAACTCTATTCATTCCTGACCATGGCATGTTAATTCTGCATATAAAACGTCCCATGGGGCGAAGAGGATATCACAAGTCAACCATGACCTTGTCTTGTATCACCCTGTGCATCATCACCTTTCCCGTCCACCGAGCCGTAAGTACATCTGTCAGGCACCTATACTCCCCGAATGACTAGGTAAAGTGACATACCAGACTAGGTATGCAAAGCATGTGCATTGATCGGAAGTTGACCGACATCGACTTCAATTGAGGCTCGGTCTAGTGGAACATGACCTAGCATGTGAATAGACCAACAACAAAGAGTATGGCAGACAGCATGTCTCAAAGTTCATCGTCTGTATCGAGATGATCTTCAGTGTTTTTTTTATATGGTACTGCAGTCAACAGAGAAATAACGTGACTTGCAATACGTGAGTTGATCGCGTGTTGCTCCATCACAAGGGCAGCCAATGTAGATATGCGAAGCTAAGGATGTCTCTCCAGCTTCATAACCGTCTTCAAAATGCTATGTGATCTCCTTCAATAGTCAACCATCATGCGAATAATACTTAGTTTGTATCTAGGCTATAGCCGCTTGGCAATTCAAGCGATGGCTGTTTCCATATCCCAAGACTTGTAATCTTTTCTATCTCATAAGCAAAACTTTTCTTTCGTCACATCGTTTATCCCAGCCGGTTCTTCTCATCGTGACCCTGGTCATCCGTCTACATCAAGCATGCCACTTGGCGACTGCTGCACAGATCTGAGGAAGCAACCTTGACACGGCTTGTTGGGCTAACCCACGTGAAAGCCTCGACGAGCCACTCATACCACACCTTGGTATCATCTGTCTGTCGCCACATACTAACCTCGAGCTCAGTATCAGCTGGGAAGTAGAGAGGTTTCTTCAATCATGTTAGTGCGCTTCGATACTTGCTGGGGAGGGAACTTGCCTTCAGGGGGAAATAGATGGGGAACCAAGAGATCATATCTTTGCTCTTCTCATCAATACGCTCAGGATGTGTGCTGATTTCAATCTTCTCTCCCTTGTTCTCGGGAATCTGAGACTCATATAGAGTCGACTCAAAGTAGCCCGCCAGCCCATGAGTGACACCTCTTGTCCGGCAGACAAATGTGAGATGAGTATATCGCGAGTTGTGGTCATTAGCCCCGGCAGCACCAGCCATGCTACCACCGCCACCTCCCACAACGCCACCAGAGCGCTTAGCCTCCAGAGCCGCGAGTGAAGATTCGGGAATAGGGTGGGAGAATTCCCAGGCTTCCTGGAATCTAGGCTTGTTGGGCACCTTCTCGGCAACGAAGTCGAGAGCAAAAAGGCGAACAACCCAAGGTGTCTCGAAAGCGTTGGGGTCTCCCGACACGCGTGAGAGGATATCAGCGTGGATCTTGGGTGTTGAGATGGGGCTGAGATGAGCAGTGTAAGAGCTGGGAATGGAGATTCCATGGGGTGTGGACATGACATGCTGGATTCCGTCAAGGCATTCGGGAGAGAGCTCGTTATCGCCAAATGAACCAAGAAGCTCAGAGATTAGGATATCAACCTTGCCATATACAGGTCCATTCTCGTCCTCAGAGATGATAGGACCCTTCCATGCTCGCATATCGGTCTTGACAACCTTGACCTTGCCACCCCAGACGAGGTCATTCTGGCGCAAAAGGTAGACGTAGGCGTTGGGGTTCTTCTCAACCGCCCACATATCGATAGGGACGCCGGCGTCCTCGGACGCCTTGAGTGCTCGAGTAACGAGAGGGCCACGACCAGAACCGGCAACAGCAACGACAACCTTGCCGTCCATAGAGGTGGGTTTCTTGAGTTCCTTCCATTCTGTGAGAGCCTCAAACACGGCAATCTCGTACTGGCTATACTTGACGGGGTCGCCCTCGAAGACCTCATATGTTGCTGACTCGAGATTATCTGACAGGGGCTGGAGAGGTGACTGAAGCCAGTCTTGGAAGCTGGTCAAGGTTGGGCTCTCGAGATAGCTAAATGGTGGCTGCTGGTCCTCGAGCCATCGCAGGTATGAAATATAGTCGTTATTCCTGGTCTTGGATGACTGTTCCTGGGCCTCAGCTTCGGCCAAGCTAGGGAAATCGTTTTGAGTGGTCGGCAGAGACTGGTGATCATCCTGAAGGTGGGAAACATCAGGGCCAACGTCGCAGAGCAGAATCCAGGGGATATTCCTCAAGCGCATGTACGAGAATACGAGATTCTGGTGATGCTTAGACAGCGATGGGAAACCAGCCTTGTTAGCCTGGAAAGTCGCAAGGCTGAATGTGAGGTAGTGCAAAGGCTCAGCAAACCATCGATCCTGAAGATCCTTCTCGGGCATAACACGGGGAATTTGCAAGGCTTTTTATTAAGTTAGCATTCGTTAAGGATTCTAGGATATTGATATGAGCGTACCAACAAAGAGTCTGGTGTTGTAGTTACAGACACTTCGGACATGATGCCACGAATCCCAAGCGGCCAGAAGATCGATCTCTTTTCCTTCGGTCTTGGTTGGAGTCTTGACATCAAGGGAAGAGATGTTGGCTGTCTCTACATCAAGACCAGGTTCTCGATACATAGGCATGTGAATCAAGAAAGTGAGTCGGTTTCCAACTGTGAGAGCTTCCTCTACAGCTCGTGCGTATTGGGCAAGACTTTGGTTGCCGCCATCAATGGAAGCATCCTGTCGAGGGGCAGGAATCATGATGCTTCTCACACCACAAAAGTTGGCATAGTTTATTTCCACGTTGAGGACCTGACGGGAGATGCTTGAGATGATGGGATTAGAAGATCCAAGGTCGAGCCAGGGGCTGATGACTGCAGTGTAGGTGTTTACAGCGGCACTGGGGAAGAGAGCGGTGTCCTTAGGAGTCAAGGGAGGCAGAATAGGCTCTGCTCGTGAGCCAGTTGCCCTAGTGGTAGGCTTCTCGCCATTTTCGGATAGAGCGGACAGATGCTCAGAAACAAGAGCGAAGACCCGGTCTCGGAAGTGAGTGTTTGTGATGGGAGTCGTCGCAAAGGCCAGCTATCCAAGAGTCAATTGGTTGCCCCGAGCATCGTCACGTTTATATATGACATGTACGATATATATAATATAGAGATCTTTGGCGTGAAAAGCTTGCGACTTACACCATGGTTCAGCAGATGGCCATACTGCACGTCGGTGAGGGGCTCATCGCGTTTTGAGTCGTGGTATCCGATATGAAAATTGGGACGTTGAAGACCAAAGTTTTCAGGCATTCTGGAGCCTGTGTCGTCAGAAGTCATGATTGTAGCTCAGAGCTTGTCAAGAGACGATGTTTGCGGTTGGAGTTTGCAGGGAGAAACAGCAAACAAAGTTGAGATTTCTGGTGGTGGAGTAAATTCACCCCGCCAATCCAAGCCAGATCGTTCAGTTGTGTGAAGTGGGATGGGAGGGATGTATGTGACGAAGGGAAAAATACAGAGAGAAAATAAATCGTAGACAAAAATTGCCAAGAATCAAGATGTGGCCTGTCAAGAGATTTCTTGTTGTTTGTGCGTGTTCAATAAGTATTCCCAGAAACCTGCGAGTTGGAGTTTCAAGCTTGAATGAAGCTCGAGAGAGCAAAGACCCTGAAAATGCACAGTGTGCGCCCATTTTGAGTTGAAACAGTACAGCAAACCAGCTTCAGGCCTCGAGGAGCAAGAAAACACAAGACTTGAGAGGAGCGTGCTAAGATAAACTTGGTAGAGAGTCCCCTCAGAGTCTCAATGTCACTGTTAATGTTACAAGCACGCACATATACATATGCTGCATCTCGTCATAACGCAGTAACACAGTCACATCTCATGCACTGTGCGACACGACAAGGATCCTTATCGATAAGCATCTGCCTAAGAAGCCCGCCAAAATTTTCTAGCATTTAGTAGAGCAGAAAACAAAAAACACCACGGCCTTCCGCTTCAGCCTCGCCACTTTCTCTCACCTCCTCTCCCTGCCATTCACCGAAAATAATGTCCGATATCAAGGGAGGAAAGCGTTCAAGCGCCGACGCCGACGAATCCACGCGAAAGAAGGCCAAGAAGGACGGCGAGGACGAGAAATACAACCCCTACCTTGCTCACATGTACGACAACGATAACAGCAATGACAATGGCAATGGCAATGGCGCAGAGCCTTCGCCGGACTCTCCTCTCGCTGGTATGAAGAGGCAGCATACTACCGCTGCCCAGGCTTCAAAGGCTGAGGACTCTGAGTCGAACCCTTTCACCGGCCGGCCTCATTCGCAAAAGTACTTCCAGATTCTCCAGGGCCGTCGCGATCTGCCTGTCCACAAGCAACGACAAGAGTTTTTGGACAAGTACCACTCAACGCAGATTCTCGTCTTTGTTGGTGAGACAGGTTCTGGAAAGACTACTCAAATTCCTCAGTATGTCGTCTACGACGAGCTACCTCATCTTACCGGCAAGCTTATCGCCTGTACGCAGCCACGTCGAGTCGCCGCCATGTCTGTCGCGCAGCGTGTCGCCGACGAGATGGACGTCACCCTGGGCGAGGAAGTTGGTTACAGCATTCGTTTCGAGGACATGACAGGTCCTCAGACTATGCTCAAGTACATGACTGATGGTATGCTTCTGCGTGAGGCCATGCACGACCATGAGATGTCTCGCTACAGTTGTATTATTCTCGATGAGGCTCACGAACGTACTCTCGCGACCGATATTCTCATGGCTCTTCTCAAGCAGATTTCTATGCGCCGCCCCGACCTCAAGATCATCATCATGTCTGCTACACTCGATGCGCAAAAGTTCCAAAAGTATTTCAACGATGCGCCCCTGCTCGCTGTCCCCGGTCGAACACATCCTGTCGAGATCTTCTACACCCCCGAGCCTGAGCGCGATTACGTCGAGGCCGCCATAAGAACCGTTCTCCAGATTCACGCTTCAGAGCCTGAGGGTGATATTTTGCTTTTCCTTACTGGTGAAGATGAGATTGAGGACGCTTGTCGCAAGATCAGTCTCGAGGCTGACGAGCTGATGCGCGAGGTCGACGCTGGTCCTCTAGCCGTTTACCCTCTGTACGGTACCCTGCCTCCCCACCAGCAACAGCGCATCTTCGACAAGGCCCCTGCGCCTCTTCGCAAGGGCGGCCGTCCTGGTCGCAAGGTCATTATTTCTACCAATATTGCCGAAACTAGTTTGACTATCGACGGCATCGTCTATGTCGTGGATCCTGGGTTTAGTAAACAGAAGATCTACAACCCTCGTATCCGTGTCGAGTCTCTCCTTGTCTCGCCCATCTCCAAGGCTTCAGCCCAGCAGCGTGCTGGTCGTGCTGGTCGTACCAAGCCCGGAAAGTGTTTCCGTCTGTATACCGAGAAGGCCTTCAAGAAGGAGCTTATTGAGCAAACATATCCCGAGATCCTGCGCTCCAACCTTGCCAACACCGTTCTGGAGCTCAAGAAGCTCGGTGTGGAGGATCTTGTCCACTTCGATCTTATGGACCCCCCTGCTCCCGAGACGATGATGCGCGCCCTTGAGGAGCTTAACTATCTTGCCTGTCTTGACGACGATGGTGAGCTTACCACTCTCGGCAGCATGGCCTCTGCATTCCCCCTTGATCCGGCTCTGGCGGTCATGCTTATCTCGTCTCCTGAGTTTTACTGCTCGAACGAGATTCTCTCTATTACCTCGCTTCTCTCGGTTCCACAAATCTTTACTCGCCCTGCCAACAACCGAAAGCGCGCCGATGAGATGAAGGCTCAATTTGCGCATCCTGATGGTGACCACCTCACCCTGCTCAACGCCTACCACGCATTCAAGGGCCAGGCAACATCCGATCCCAACAGTGCAAAGCAGTGGTGCCATGAGCACTTCCTCTCCTTCCGACATCTCTCCAGTGCGGATAACGTCCGCGCTCAGCTCAAGCGCATCATGGAGACGCATGGCTTGGAGCTTGTGTCGACACCATTTGAGGACAAGAATTACTATACCAACATTCGACGCGCACTGCTCGCCGGTTTCTTCATGCAGGTCGCCATGAAGGAGAGCTCTGGCAAGCTCTATCGCACTGTCAAGGACGATCAGGCTGTGTTGATTCACCCCTCAACTGTCCTCCGTACCGAGTTCGACTGGGTCCTCTACAATGAGTTTGTCTTAACGTCCAAGCAATACATTCGAACATGTACGGGTATCCGACCTGAGTGGTTATTGGTAAGTGATACTTTCAGATGACTCTTGTTTCATTATGAGTACCTTGAGTCAATTTTACATTCGCTGACACTTTTTGCAGGAAATTGCCCCTACATACTACGATATCGACAGCTTTGAGCAAGGTGACGTCAAGCGTTCTCTTGCACGTGCTGCAGAGAAGAAGCGCCGCAAGGAAGCCATGAAGGCTGGTCGATGAAGTACTCACTTCAGGGCCCATGAAAGAAAGGCCAAGGAAAGGCTCTGCAGTCGTTCCCTAGAAATCGACAATACAGGCAATGGGCAGGGGATTCGAAACGTGATCGATCGACCTCTTTGCTTATCCAATGCTTAGCCCTACCATGTACGTGCGGGAAGCGGCCCTCCATTGCGGCTCGGCCTTATATGGGGGCCGACGAGACACAAACATTTTGGCCTTAGAGTACTTAGGGAAGAGGTGTTGTTTGTCGACTACTATGTAGCTCGACAAAGCTTTGCCCCTCCCTTATACATCCCGGTCTGGAGTTGCACATCCTCACAAGTTGACTGGTTGAGCACGGCGTTTTATATGCATCAGCCACTTCTTTCATGGTTGGCTGCTCGGTTGAATTGTTCTTTTTTTCAAGGTATTCAATGCCTCAATGTTTCCCCCTCGTCGCGCCGCTCTCTGTCTGGTCCATTGGTCTCTTTCACTTTACCTATTCGGTCTTAGAACCCTGCAGCACCGTTAGGTTACCAAAAGAGGGTGTGAGCGAGTGTAATGGAGGGATGCGGACGTTTTTGGGTTGTTTTACTCGTGTGTATCTTAAGTGGAGGTAAAAAGAGGAAAGAGGCGACAAGTGAACTTGGGACTGAGTAAAGGTTGTGGCAGAGAGAACTATTGCTAGCACACCAGCCGTATTTGAAACTAGATGAAACATTATCAACGAATTCCAAGCACTTGCGCAGTTCTGCAGCATTCATGCTTCTTTAGCATCATGCACGACACCTCTTCTGGTTGCTTGAGCGTTTGTCTTGACTGCATTGTTACCTCTTCTCCCAGCCTCATATCAACTAGGCAATCAGTTTAGCTGTCAGCAAAGCTTGACTCAGAATAGCCTGAGTATTTGTGTCTGTCAGGATGGAGCTTCTCTGATGCAAACACAAAAATGCATCCTTGCAGAGGGAGGGTGGCCTGCATATCCGTCTCGCCGCGCTTGACGATGCAGTCTGGGTGTTGGTTCGGCCATCCAACTCCAATTTTCCCAAGGTTTTCCCTGCTCTCACGTCCTTCTCTCTTGGGATGACGATGTCCGTGTCAATGCCTGCTCTTTCTGGATGTGGGCGACCAGGGGCCGATAAAAGTGGCCAAGCTAGCAGGGCTCCCCTCATCAACATCGGCTATGGAGGCGGGCAAGACGGGAGATCGATGGAAAAAGCAAAAAGAAGAGAAAATAAGGGAAACCAAGTACAGGTGTAAATAGGTTAGAACCAATTATCAGCCTTGAAACGCCTTGGTTAGGCTGACGAACAAACCATGCCAGTAACTTAAGCGCAGATATCATAGATAGCTTTTTCGCACTGTAGTTTGGCTTGAGAATTCGCCATGTTTGCTTGCCCCCATTACCACAATTTGACACCAATGACAGTGGAATGAAGGCTGCCAAAGGAGAACAAGTCCAATTGTGTTGGACTGAGGAAAATCGGCGATGTCTGTTTCAGATATACGGCGGGACAGACAGATAGGTAGGGCCGGGTCTTCGCAGAGGGTGGGGATCCCTTCTCAAGAATTCTTGTTGCTCGCAGCCATGACTGCCCCACGACGAATGAGAGCAAGAGTGTATGAGAGGGCAGATGTACGAAGTGAGGACATCGTATGAGAAGCAAAGAATACCACCAAATTTGACTTATGGGTTCCACCTCGAAGTCTGCTTCCATACGAAGCCGGTCACTGACTACCGACGAGATCAATACCTGTTTTAGGTCGCCAAAGCTGTTCATGGCCGATTCGATATCATTATCCGATGACAGGGGTGAGAAAGAGCTGTTGTACGGAGTAGCATCCCTCAATTCCACCCGGTAAAGTCAATCGGGTTATCATAATGATTGAGACTCCTCCAACCAGGGATGACCCAGCAATATCAAATCAGTAAGAAGAGCTGATGCAAAACACCACGTGTATCTCAGCATGGTTTGGAATATCAGGGTATCATCCTGCGGGCCAAACAAATTGCCCGGCCCAACCTTCACTAGTGGTCCAATCAATGAACATGCTCTGACGGGAGCTCCAGCACCTCTCTTCCTTTTCGAGAATACAATGCAGTGGAAGGGCTCGAGCTTCAATCAGACGACAGTGCCGACCGGAGAATAAAGTATGGAGAGCGTTGCCTGTATGTATGTATGTATGTATGTATGTATGTATCTGCAGGGCACTTCCTGGGTGGTTGAGCATCATGGCAACCTATCCGAGGAGGCCATAGCTCCTTGCCGTTCGCCCCTGTTCACAACCTGGAACGTAGTTGGGGGGGCGGAAGAAGCAAGATGGCGCACAGGTGAAGAAGCATCAGAAGATGGTGCGCTGCCCGAAAGGGGGCCGCGTTGTCAACTGTGCATACTGCGCGGTTTGCGATGTTTTCCCAATATGTGAAAATGAGAGAAACGTTTTAAGTTTTTGTCTAGTTGTAACGCAACGCAACGCAACGATAAGACTGGCCAACCCTGGATCCTGCTGCTTCTGCGCGCCCGTCCAAGGTGTAGTTTATCGCGCAACAGTACAATTGCCTCAGTGAGAAGATGGTCTTGCCAAAGTCCAAATGAGTGTGGAGTGGCCGAGGTAGAATGGACGATCCGCGAATGGAGACACCCGAGGTCATCGGTGATGCTCAACTAGACGTTATGAAAGCACGGGGTGACCCGAGACCTCCGAGTAGGGTCGTAATCTCATCGAGTAAAGACTGATGCTTCTCAAATATCTCATGATATCAGAACAGGTAACCCACCATGTCCGAAGCTCCTCCTCGTAATAAGCTCTGGTCTCGCTCTTCGGCAACCTTGATAGTTTGTGTCACCGATAGCTTGGCTATCAGTCTCCCCAGCACAAGCTCACAGAGAGAAACCAACATTTCCCGGCATGTGCAAGCATGTATACTCAGACGTTGAGATATACTTCGCATATCCACAAGCCAAACTGCGGCGCCACACCCTTGTGGATCCCGTCCCGTCACAAGCAAAGCGTTTTTTTGCTTTTTCCCGTCCTTCCATTCCAGATGCTGGGCTGAGCCGCATTGGCATCGATCCCAAGATGTTCTAAGAACGTTTCTTTTTCAGCCTCAGAGATCTCCTCCCCACAAAGTCCCTGCTTGGAAGAGCCACAGGGTCAGAGTGAGGTCAGGTATATTGATACATGGCCTGCTTGATTTTGAACCATGCCACTGCGCGTCCGACAATCGGATCTTTGCCTGTGCACTTCATGTGGCACGACACATGGTAGCATGGGATGACCGCAGCAAGCCTACCGTTGACTACGGGTCTTTGGCTTCAGGTCGTGGCGCCGGCTGGCCCGAAAAGAAACCACCACAACATACATAGGTACCTATTCATTGATAAACAGCACACCCCTCCCTATTCCTGTTGAGGGCTTCTTGCCCTGACCTGGTACTGTCCTGTATGCGGCGTTGTAGCAATTGTGATTGCCGTGGACCTAGGGTCTTAGGCGTGGACCATAGACGGGGGAAATCATCATGCATCGTCTCAAGTAAGGTCAACTCCGAGAGGGATGCGCAAAAGCTCGGTATCATTGGATATGACCATGACAGACAGTACGTCCTTTCCCCAGACGAGTATACACGCCCTTGTCAGGTCTAACCTCACGCCATTCCGCCGGACGCTACACCCTTTATAGCTCTCGTCCCATGGCCCCACGTCTCGACGAACCACAAACCGTTTAAGTTGTCGACATGGCTTCTGAGACGACCCATCCTGTCACTTCGCTTTTCAGTATGGACGCATACTGTCTGTACTGGAGCAGCAGATTGAGGCGGAAACCGCAATACATGAATGCCACTAATGCTGATTAACATTTGTCTAGTCGTGCTCTGGAAGCGCTTGGGCGTCCTCCCCGGTTGTATGAGCGCATAGTAACGAAATATGTTGATGGCATCGATTTCTCCTCGAGACCAGTCTTTCAAGAACAAGCCATCTCTGACTGGTTGCCGTATTCCATCGTCGTTTTAGAATCATGTATGTTGTTTTGCCTGCCCGTACCCAAGTCATGTCTGCTCGTCACTTGTAAAAGGCGTCTGCAGTCGTCCTGCATAGCTCACAGGGGCTCCCTGTCTGTCATCACTACGGGTGTGGTCCCCACCACATCGCATCGTTCTGTTCGGCGGGGGGGGCATCAGTCAATGCCATGCAAAACGGCATTGCGACGCCAACGGCCATTCCCATCGAGTTTAGTTGTCCCTAAGACGTCAGCGTCCGAGTCTCTTAAGTTGTACTCCGTTGAGCAAACACTACGCACCTTTGATCATGCCAGCTCATTCCCACTTAGAGCTCCGCTCTGCCCTGGGTATCCTTGACATGTTGGCCATCCGCACTTCAGCGGTAGTACAAGCAAATCGTTCGACCCTTTTCCCAGCCTAGTCCAATCCCCGTGCTAATAATCGCATTCACGTCACTTCCTCTCATTGCCTGGCAGCTCATATAAGAGTCTATGCCTCTTCCTCGCATTCCATCATCCGTCCGCCCATTGATTCACATCTCATCTTGTCCAATCCGTTGCTCACTGCGCCATACAACTCTCTTACATCTTGGACATCGACAGCACAATGAGTGGAGCTGGTGGTTTTTATAAGTACAGATGCAAGTACTTCTATACACATAACTGTCCCAACTGGGTCTGGGTGAATAATGCGCCTTGCGCATCATGTCTTGTAAGTTGGCACATTTTGCTTTACATATCAATTCATTCGGCTGGTACTGACTGATAGCTCCAGGCTGATGGGCGCGATAACGAAGAGCCTTCATTACCATCATGGGGACTGTCTCGAGATATTGTTGTCCCTCAAGTTCTCGACGGCATTCTTCAATATACTCTAATGGAGCTCGTAGCTCCCTCAGAACCTGGCGACGACTGGACTCTTCGGGATAAGGCCAGCCGGCCACCACCATCAATTCCCGTAACAAGCGCTATGCCAGGTATACCGAGCATCATGGCACATCATCGGTTTTGAGAAGAGTAGT